GAGGACTCGATTACGTATTCCCTTTCATTGATGACGTTTTGATAGCTTCAGCTAACGAAACTGAACATCGAGAACACCTCCGAACTGTACTCACACGATTTCAAGAGCACGGCATCACTATAAACCCCGCGAAATGTATTTTCGGAAAACAGCAAGTCAAATTCCTAGGATACATGGTATCGGAACAAGGCATCAAACCACCCGATGATAAAGTCAAGGCTATCGTCAACTACACGAAACCGAAAACAGTTGAAGAACTACGACGCTTCCTAGGAATGTTAAACTTCTATAGAGATCACATTCCAAACGCCGCCACTATACAAGCTCCGCTAAATTCATATCTACACAACGTTAAGAAGCGCGATAAAACTATAATCGAGTGGACCGACGAAGCAACGCAAGCATTCGAAGCATGTAAAGTTAGCATCAGTAACGCGACTTTACTCGCTCACCCGTCTCACGAAGCAACACTCGCAATATTCAGTGACGCCTCAGACAACGCCGCCGGAGCCGTACTTCAACAGTACATACATAATACATGGCAGCCCCTCGGTTATTTCTCAAAGAAATTCTCAGACGCTCAGAAAAAATACTCAACATACGATCGTGAATTACTTGCTATATATATGGCAGTAAAACACTTTAGGAAAATATTTGAAGGCAGACCACTCATAATATTCACCGACCACAAGCCACTCACGTTTGCTATGAACAAAACATCAACAAACAACGAGACGCCGCGACGAACAAGACAATTATTATTCATTAGTGAATTTACAACCGACATACGTCACGTAAGTGGGAAACAAAACATCGTCGCCGACGCTTTAAGTCGTGTCGAAACTATATCCTGCCCGTCTACAATAAATTATGAAGAAATAGCCTCAGCACAACGAAGTGACAACAACATTCAACATTTACTTCAACAAACCAACCTATCATTCAAAAGGGTAAATATTCCTAATACAGATATAGAATTACTGTGTGAAACATCAACATCATTCATACGACCTTACATACCTACCGATCATCGTAAAGAAGTTTTTAACAACATCCATAATATCAGTCATCCCGGAACGCGAACAACAAGGAAATTAATAACAAGAAAATACTTTTGGCCGTCGATGAATAAAGACATCGCAACGTGGACTAAGAATTGCATTCAATGTCAGAAGAGCAAAATACAACGTCACACACACAGCGAAATAAATTCGTTCCCGCCAACCGACCGCTTTCAACACGTGCACATAGATATCGTCGGACCGTTACCTACAACAGCTCAAGGTCACCGATATTTAATAACCATGATCGATCGACATACGAAATGGCCCGAAGCGATACCTACCATCGATATATCCGCCGAAACAGTCGCAGAATGCATATACAACAACTGGATAAGTCGATTCGGATGCCCCGCTACTATAACAAGTGATCAAGGCCGACAGTTTGAAAGTCAAATATTTAAAAACTTAATGAAAATACTCGGAATACAAAGAATACGAACTACGCCTTATCATCCACAAAGCAACGGAATGATTGAACGATGGCATCGTTCATTGAAGAACGCATTACGCGCCAAACTATCCGATACAACGTCATGGATCAATGAGTTACCTACTATACTACTCGGGTTAAGAGCCGTCTTACGCACCGATAGCAACGTAAGCGCAGCCGAACTTACCTACGGCTATAACTTAAGACTCCCAGGTGATTTCCTAGACACAAATAAAACAACAGACTCAGCATCATTAAATTATAATTACGTCGAAAAATTACGAGAAAATATACATAAACATAAACCATTACCGAACTCGCAACGAAACAATAAACACATTTTCGTACATCAAGACCTACGAACATGTCCGTACGTGTTTATTCGAGTCGACGCAGTCAAATCACCGCTTCAAACACCCTATGAAGGCCCCTTTCGAGTTGTAAACAGAACAGATAAAGTCTTTACAATTCAATTACCCGATCGTCAAACATGCATCTCAATTGATCGACTGAAGCCTGCATATGTGTTAAATACTGAAAATTCAGATTTACCTCAAACCAAGAAAACCATTACAAAGGATACCAGAGTTACCATCAAAACCTTACCAATTGAAAAATCAGCTGATACGAACAACATGACGTCACAGCCTACTCGTATATCAACTCGACTAGGCCGTTCCATCAAGTTGCCGGTACGTTTCACTTGAGGGGGATTACTGTAGCAGCACGTACACGAAGTAATAACAATAGTTTATTTATTTATAAAGACGTTCTCGTTGATGGATTCGGCGACGCTTTCATCGTTGAAACGGAAGCACATATTAATAAGAATAGTATATTTATAAAGACGTTCACATCGCTGGATTTGGTGACGTTTTCATCGTTGAAACAGGTACACATATTAATAACAATAGTGTATGGATAAAGACGTTCTCATCGCTGGATTTGGTGACGCTTTCATCATTGAAACAGGTACACATATTGATAACAATAGTGTATTTATAAAGACGTTCTCGCCGCTGGATTTGGTGACGCTTTCATCATTGAAACAGGAACACACTGATGACACGATGCCGGCCCCTCGCCACGACGTAGTCTTCTTTTTTTTCAGTTAGCAGCGTTTTCAAGATGTTGTCACTCCCCGGCGCGCGCGATCCAAAAGACCGATGCGCTCGCTGGAGTGACAGATATAACCACGGTTAACGCATGCGCAGTGATACCGATTAAACGCATGCGCATTAAAGACGAAACCGTATGCGCGGCGACCAATCAAAACGCCTGTTTTAATGTGCTGGTTATTCATATTCTATATGTAATCAATTTTCTAGTATAAATAACTGTAAATATTTTCAATAAAACATTTCCTTGAACAAGTGAAAAGTCTATTATTCTCTCCATACGTCTCAACGCTTAAAGGGTCTTCTGGTTTGTGGGTATAATTATCAGTCAAGAGAATTATTGGAAATATCAGCCTATCTGAGACCACTAATGAGCAAAGGCTTCTTCTCACATGAAGAAGGTTTGAGCATTAATCACCACGCTTGCTCAAGACGGGTTGGTGATTTCAAACTTATAATTGTGGAATTATAAGTCCAGGTTTCCTCCCGATGTTTTCCTTCACCGTCAATTGGAAATTGGAAATATATAAATTATATATTAATTGAATTGTGTATCGTCAAGTGACATCCCTGTATATGATAATTGTAGTAATATATTATTGTATTACAATCGTTTTATATAAAATAAACGACAGTAAATTATTGACTAAAAAGAAGAGAACTGTTTTTTTAATCATCATCATCATCAGCCTATCAGCCCAACGCTGAGCAAAGGCTTCTTCTCACATAGATAAGGTTTTTTTAAAATATTATAATGTATTTTGTTTTCCACTTTTCTTTCTAAAGCTTTGCTATTTGTCACATTTCCTTTTTTTTCTAATATTTTAACTTTAATATATCCTTACTTATAATAATTTATCTATTCAAATATTTTCTTACCACCCCAACACGAATAAAAATCGGTAACTCAATATTTTGCTATACACAATATAAACAAACAAAATGTTTAAATAAGAGCCATCTAGAATACAATTAATTAAAAGCGTACTAAGACTATTTAATGGTAGAAAAGATTGTTGAAAGCGGCATCTAGTATTTCTAGAAAACCTTTTTAACTTATTCTTTTTAAAACCGTCTCAAAATATATTGAAGGTAAACTTCAAAATGTGACAAAGTAAATTATAATAACGTTATATTTAAAATATTATAAAATAATTTAACCGACTATTTGTAGTTGCAATCAACTAAAATATATTTTATAAAACCTATATTTTTGTACACTGGTAACACAATCAGGGACATCCACCTAGGAAGTGCAGAGAACTGCTAGCCAAATTCTTGTTTTCCACTATTTTTATTCAATGAAATGATAATAACAAAGTCGTTTAACGTTTCAGTAAGATGATACCGAGATGAATAAGTGTATGTGCGGGGACAGTGCGAAAGAATTTATCAGGACAAGAAACACAGGTGTGACAGCAACGGCAAATACCGCATAGGAGGCTAAAATAAAAAAAAGTATTTGAGCTTTATTTATCTGTATAGATCTAAAAATAAATTGTGTTTGAGTATACAAAGGGAGAGACCTTAAGTGTTTTATAAAGGTGTTTTTTTTTTAAATATAATTATAATAGCATTTGACCCACTTACGAGTTCTCTGGGTTGACCTATCGGTCGCGAATGCGGGCTAAACGTTTATTTTTAGGATGTAGCTTTGCAGTTAATTTAATATTTATAAATGTCTTTCGCGATGCATAATTGCAATCCTAATTGCAGCGGTTGTCGCGGAGTTTTTGGTTGGATAAAGGTGAGTTCTTTGTTATGAAATGTTTATTATTTATTTATTTTACAACTTGTGGTTTTTATCAGTTATCCCGATTAAACATTGTTTAGGATTTAATTAACTCAAATAAGACACCATTATTATAAATAAAGAACTTTGATTTATATAAGTTAAAGAGATAAATAAATATTTTCCTTAATCTGTACTATTATATGTATATAAACTAACAATAACTGGGATGTCATTGATCTATTGATATATAAACATAAAAAAAGCTACTAAATTATGCCAACATATACAGTTATTGTATCTCTGCTGAATCAATAATAAAATCTTAATTATAATGATTTTTATTTTCAGGTATTATAAAATAAGTGAATGTGAAATAGAAATGTAAATAAATGGATGATCACTAAATAAAACAAATTCCTAAGGGATCAATTTATTGGTAGACATTTTTAATCAAAATCCAGAACAAAAAAATATAGATAATCTGAACATGTTTAATAAAACCTATTTAGATAGTCGCACTAATAAATAATGATGGGAGATACATTTTTTACATATAATAAAATGGTGACTTAGTATGTATGTATGTAAAATGCGATTGCTTGTTTAATAAGTAATGTATGGGCCGCAAGCCCTAAGGCTTTGTATAGTCAGTAATGAAGAAGCAAAATGTACGCACTTTGTCATTAATTGTGTGCACATTTACATACTTGCTTGTTGGTGCTGCCGTTTTTGATGCACTCGAATCCACTACCGAGAGGAATCGATTTGAAGTTTTACAAGGTTAGTGGATTAATATATTTTATAAGTATTTATCACTAATAAATTTTATATCTAAATTATGTCTTGAAAAAATTTCACTTTATAGCAATTTGGACAAGCTATACCTAAGACTTTTCCATATTTGATCGTCTGTTAGAAGAGAAAATTCAATTTCATATAATTAACTTCTTTCTTACATTCACAAAATTCTATGTATAGTTTTACTAGGAAAAACAATATAATAAAATTATATAAAATCCATAATAGTATTACATTTGTTAATGGCTGAAATTTAAAATCAAAAAACATATATTTTTTAAATTTATTCAATGGACAGATAAAAAATAGACATAGCAAGATTATAATTAGATTCAAACATTATCTTCCAACCTATTAATAGTTGACATTGACAACTTTTGTATGTAAATGTTATGGATTAGTTGCATAATATTGCAATAAAAAAATAGAGATTATATTAACATAAACAATTGTAGTGCAAGTCTAGAGATACACTTTAAAAACAAGTTCTTGGAATTTTTTTTGCCAGTGATGGGTTCGAGACCCATAGAATTTATACATATACAAATGTTTATATGTATATGCTTGACCATTATGTGTATATGCTTAGCTTAAAATATAATGAATCAAACATAGTTTTTATATCATTTGAGCACTACCTCTCCATACATATAACTTTTTTTTGACACATGTCTAAGTAATAGATATAAATGTTGTATACTAACAATACCTTTTGCTTGTGGTTCTGTCTTAACTAATTTTAGTTCGAGCAACTAAAATTATATCTACATATAGTTTCATCTACCTCTTAAGTACCTATTTAAATTGTTATATTAAACTTTAAATAGAAGACATATAACAAATTCATAGATACAAGCAGTATTTAAAGCTGATGCTTTTAACATCTGGAAAGTGATATTCCAGATGTTAAAACTCCAATTCCAGATCAAGCTGAATTTTCAGAACACTATTAAAATTTTAATTTGCCACACTTTGTACATTTCTTAATGTCATTGAGTTAGTACGAAATTAAGAATCAAATAATACATACATGTTATTAATACCTCCCAATATGTACAAGCAAAAGTGAACCTTAATTACAAGAAAAATATATGTAATATATATAAATTTTATGTTCTATATCACTAACTACATATAATTGTGTTCCAGCAATCGAAGGTATGATAATTCGTAAATATAACATAACCGAGGAGGATTTCCGCGTAATGGAGACAGTGGTTCTCAAGTCGGAGCCGCATAAAGCGGGCCAGCAGTGGAAGTTCACTGGCGCCTTCTATTACGCTACTACAGTTCTTACTACTATCGGTAATATATAGTTCAAATTATATTATATATGTATATATAATATAACATTATAATAGTATAAGGCCAGTACCTACAAAAATAACTAAAACAGATATACATTTAACAATACACTCATTTAGAAATGCATATTTGTTGGTTACTTGTAGAAATATATCTACATCATTATCTACATTCAGTTAAAGCAATGATAATGATCAACTATCTATTAAATAGTCCATAATATCTTTAAAACCTCACTTAATAGATTGGTTTAGATGTTAATCAGTCAACATAAGACCTTTTTACTTTATACTAGCTTTCCGCCCGCAGTTTCGCCCGCGTGGAATTCGGTTATATCGTGTTTCCAAGAGAACCTTTCAATAGTCTGGGATAAAAACTATCCTATGTTCTTTCTCAAGGTCAACTATATATCTGTACCAAATTTCATTAAAATCAGTTAAGTGGTTTAGGCGTGACAGCGTAACAGACAGACAGTCAGAGCTACTTTCTCATTTATAATATTCTAGGGATATACTATTACTTTATATGTAATATCTTTTATATATACATAGTATATTAATATGTGACTGTATATATTTCCAGGTTATGGTCATTCAACTCCGTCAACTATAGGTGGCAAGTTATTCACAATGTTCTATGCTATAGTCGGTATACCACTGGGACTGATCATGTTTCAGAGCATCGGTGAAAGAGTTAACAGGCTTAGTAGGTGAGTTATATAGGAATATATAATAATACTAGCTGCGCCCCGCGGTATTACGGGATGTCCGGGATGTAAAGTAGCCTATGTGTTATTCCTGGCCGTCAGCTTCCTGTATACAAAATTTTATCAAAATCGGTTCAGCCGTTTCAGCGTGAAGAAGTAACAAACATACACACACACACACACAAACTTTCGCAATTATAATATTAGTAGGATTATTTATTTAATTGGTTTCAAAAATAGCATAGATAAACTTAATTGAAATGATTAATTGAGATATACTGTATGTTACTGTGGGCGTCAAATAGTTCGTTGTTAATTAGCTGTATCAATAATAACAATAACTTAATAATGTATGTAAATAAAAGTTCAGACAAAATCAGTTCGTCACTTTCAAATATTAGACAGAACAAACGGAAGGTAGATTTTTTTGAATATTTTATTTTAATAAATATACACCATGTATACCTATAATATGCATTTAATTAAAAAAGGTTCTTTATCTTACAAACTTTTACAGATAGTAAGATTTTAATGTATTGTACATAGTTTAGTTACAATCTGTTATGTGTAGGACTACACAGAAGAGATTATATCTTATGTATAACATAGTGTAGCTATTACATACATACTTGTACTATAACACATTTTATTCCTTAATTAATAACTCTTTTCAAACTAACAGATAATAATACAATAATAATATATTCAACTTGACCTATAAAAAACATTTATAATATATGTTTTTCTATACAATAGTTATAATAAGTCATTTTATATTTCAGTGTGATAATAAAGTCAATAAAGCGCGCCATGAACTGCAGTCAGACGAATGCCTCTGAGGTGGATCTAATCTGTGTGGTGACCATACTATCCTCACTCACTATAGCTGGTGGTGCGGCTGCCTTCTCTAAGTTCGAGGGCTGGAGCTATTTTGATAGTGTTTACTATTGCTTCATTACACTTACTACTATTGGTGAGATTTAGAGATTCTTATGTAGTAATATAGTAACTTTAAAGTTCTTCTACCTGGCAATTTTTCAGCTTTAGCCAGGGTCTGCCTTAATGGTTGTGAATAGTTTTAGCTAATTGTTTATGCGACCGGCCGCCTGCCTGACATCAACCCTCTTTGGGAATACATTAATCAGTGATGTCTAAATATTCTTAGAAAGTACATGTGACTCAGAAAAATCATATTGGTACTTGCTATATATATATATATATATATATATATATATTCATAATTTTCTTAAACTGACTGTCAGAAGACAAGATGTTAAGTTATACCAGTTTAATTATTAGAAATATTTATCTGAATACAATCAAATCAAATCTAATGGGCTCTGATAGGCTGATGATTGATAATTTATATTTTTTTCATACCTATCTCCAGAAAACAAAATGTTGTTTAGTTATATCAGTTTAATTATAAAAAGAATTGTCTAAACACAATTAAATCAGAATGTATGAATATAATCTTTGTTTGTTACTGAAAGTTTCAATCTATATAATCATATTGATTACTTGAGATAATTTCAAATTTTTCAATCTCGTATAACATAGTTTTAGATATACAGGGTGACTGGTGAATTACTATCGATATTTGAGGACGTGATATTTGACGATCATATATGACGAAATAAAAATTAATATAACATAAATATTAATAAACTTCTAAGTAAAGTTAACCAAAAGTTGTGTAATTAATTACGCATCGTATGAACACCCTACAGATTACTCTACACTACACACTCACACATACACGCGCGGCGGCGTGTTGTTGTATCAGCACGCCGCCGCACGCGTCCACACTAGGAACACTTGGACCGTGTACACACTTTATTTATTTATACGGAAAATTGGTAAAAAATTAAGTACCTATTTTTTTTACATAATTCGAATGAGAATCATGTACCGAGTATGCTCCTTAAATATTGATAGTAATTCACCATTCACTGTATAATTTTAACCTGTCTTAAGCAAGTGTAGTAATTGCTCAAATCTTCTCCATGTGAGATGAGGCTTTTACTCACTAATGGGCTCTGATAGGCTTATGATTATAATGATATCCAATTTTTTCATACTTGCCTTCAGAAGACAAAACATTGTTTAACTATAACAGTTAATAAAAACATATCAGTGCACAATCGAATTAGAATGTATGGATATAAATTTCGTTTGTTACTCAATGTCTGACTTTTTATGATAGAACTGATAACATTGTTTTATATCCATATATACCTATATATATATATATATATATATATATATATATATATATATATATATATATATATATATATAATATACATGTTATGTTTCCAGGTTTCGGCGACATGGTAGCGCTCCAAAAGGACAACGCCCTTAACCGCAAGCCGTCGTACGTAATGTTCGCGCTGATCTTCATTCTGTTCGGTCTGGCTATAGTGGCTGCCTGCCTCAACCTGCTCGTGTTGAGGTTCGTGACTATGAACACTGAGGACGAGAAGAGGGACCAGGCGCAGGCAGAACAGGTAACTGACAGACAGACATACATGATATACAACTATACAGATATACAGATATACAGTCGTACAGATATACAGATATATTTATTTATTTATATATATTAGGGCAGCTTACAAAACATACACCATTTATTTGTTTTAAAATAAAGGTAATTAGTAATTACATTTTTAGCTAAGTGTTGTTTCAATTAAAAGTTATCACTGCAGTATTTTCTATCAATCTAACACAACTTTTTTTTTCTACTTCAATTATACAAAAGGGGAAACAAAAAATACTACCAATAATAATACAATATAAAATGTAAATTACAAAAGACAATAACAAATTACCAACTTATTACTAAGCAATTAAAAAAATTAAAAATAAATAAAATGAAACCTTATATATATACTAGCTTTCCGCCCGCTGCTTCGCCCGCGTGGAGTTCGGTTATATCGCGTTTCCAAGAGAATTTATCAAAAGTCTGGGATAAAAACTATGTTCTTTCTCAAGATCAACTCTATCTCTGTACCGAATTTCATTAAAATCAGTTCAGTGGTTTAGACGTGAAAGCATAACAGACAGACAGAGATATTTTCGCATTTATAATATTATATATGTATAGTATAGTTGGTAAGTAAGTCAGTGGTGGCTCAGTGGTTAGAGGGCCCGCCTCTCGTCACCGAGGGCGCGGGTTCGATCCTGGCCCGGGCAAGTACCAGTGTGATTTTTCCGAGTCATATGTACTTTCTAAAAGTATTTAGACATCACTGAGTAATGTTGATTCCCAAAAGAGGGTTGATGTCAGGCAGGCGGCCGGTCGTAAAAACAAATAGCCAAAAACTATTCACAACATGAAAGGCAGACCCTGGCTATAGCTGGGAAATTGCCAGGTAGAAGAAGAAGTATATTTGGAAAATATTATTTATGTTTTTGTGAGTTGTTACTGTTTAATCTGTTGAAGTTATAGAAATATCTTATTATTATATTGTACTTATTGTTCTATGTAGTAATAGTATAATCAAAAATAGTACATAATTTTTTTAAGTATAAGTTATTGAATCATATAGATCCTATCATGAAATAGGCAGATCCTGGTTAAAGCCAGGACATTGCCAGGAAGAAGAAGATAGAATTCTATCATAAAATTCATAACTAATATTTACAATAATACTGCCACCCAAAAATTATACAGGGTGACTGGTGAATTACTATCAATATTTAAGGAGCATACTCGGTACATGATTCTCATTCGAATTATGTAAAAAAAATAGGTACTTAATTTTTGACCAAATTTCCGTATAAATAAATAAAGTGTGTACACATTCCAAGTGTTCCTAGTGTGGACGCGTGCGGTGGCGTGCTGATACAACAACACGCCGCCGCGCGCGTATGTGTGAGTGTGTGTGTATACCTAATCTGTAGGGTGTTCATACGATGCGTAATTAATTACATAACTTTTGGTTAACTTTACTTAGAAGTTTATTAATATTTATGTTATATTAATTTTTATTTCGTCATATATGATCGTCAAATATCACGTCCTCAAATATCGATAGTAATTCACCAGTCACCCTGTATACTTATATTTATCTAGCATTTAATTTCCATATCTATATGATGTATCAGTAAGTAGTGACGTCATACATTCCATGTACCCTAGGCGCAGCAGGTGGCCGTCCGTCTGGAGGGTGACGTCATCACAGCTGACGGAGCGGTGCTGAGAGGAGTCGCCCGGGGTACACGACTACCCGCGCCACACGCACTCATTACAGCTGGTAATATATAATAAACATATCAAACAGACAAAACCAAGTATAGAAATAGTACATATATTAATGATACTAAATAGACAAAACCAGGATAGAAGTAGTATAGTAAAGTATTTGAGCAGGTTTTGTACAAACGTATATATAATTATCTCACTGAAATAAATTTTCTTTATAAAGGTCAGTATGGGTTTCGTGTTAAATCAAATTCTCTTGCAGCTACAAATGATCTAGTTTCTAAAATTAATTTAATATAGATCAGAAAAGGATAGCTTTAGGTATATTTATTGACTTGAAAAAGGCGTTACCGTCTTACATAATATCTTGCTTCATAAATTGCAAACAATAGGTGTATCTGGAACAGCTTTTAGCGTTCTTAAGTCATATTTAATGAACAGACAACAAATGTAATATCAATTGCGGCTTTCCTCAGGGATCAGTCCTAGGCAGTCTATTATTCTTAATTTACATTAATGATATTGGTAATTTGGGATTAAACGGAGAAGTGTCATTATACGCAGATGACACATGTCTATTCTTTTTTGGAGACTCAATACATGAGATAATATCGAACGCACAAGCAGATTTAAATATACTAAATGAATGGTTCCAATGTAATTTGCTGAGTATTAATGTTACAAAAACCTCCTATATGCTTTTTACTGCTAAAAATAAAAAAAAATCCCTAATTACGAATCCCTAACCTTAAATGATATTAAACTCAAAAAATCAGAAATAGAAAAGTATCTTGGTTTACTATTAGATTCCAAATTATCATGGCAACCACATTTAGATTATTTGCAAACTAAAATAACATCACTGACTGGAGCTTTACTCAGGTGTGTCCGATGTATTCCATATAAAGTTCGAACTATTATTTATAACTCATTAGCTTACTTGAATATTTAATAGAAGTATGGGCATCTGCACACGAAACTAATTTAAAAGATTTACAAATATGTATCACAAAACAAACTATTAAAAACACTACACCAACTGGACTACCGCTTTCCAACCAAAGAACTTTACAAGAAAACTGAAACACTATCTATGGCACAATTATACAAATACAAAACATGCATACTTATAAGAAAAATTCTCTCAGGATCTATACACACACAAACTACTTTTAAGACTAAATCACATAAATACTATACACGAAATATACATAAATTACAAATACCTAAGTCTAGAACTAAACATTATGGTAACAAAACTATACAAATTGAGGGAGCGCTAATGTACAATAATCTACCGAAAGAAATATTAAACGAAAAATCTTTTTTGAAATTTAAGGCTAAATTAAAAACACACTGTCAAACTTTATAATATTTGAATGTTTGTATAAATAAGGTCACCATTAACTTTATAAATGTTTATTATTATGTTACTAGTTTAAGTTTCCTATGTAAGTGAACTTCGTTCTTAATGGGAAATAAATCATCTCTAAAACTATAGTTAGTATAATAATTATGTTCATATACATATATTATAGTGAATTTGTTGTGTTACATCATTTATGAAGCAACTAAAATATGATTTTTCTTAGTCTGCGACTCAAATTCATTTATCAATGAGATTTTTATAAAGATTTCTGATATGAGTTTTATAGACTGCCTAGTATAAATACTAAGTCATATCATTTTATTTTTCAGTACTGCAATAGATACTTATTAAACAGACTTTGGTTATTATAGTCTTGTAATTTCACGTATAATAAATAAGGTGCGATACCGTAAACACAAATCAAATGCAGCATAACAGTCGTATTGTTATTATATTAATAAAGTTCACATATATACATATATTATATTTATATGTTAAGATAGTTTAATGTATGAACGGACTGAAATTAAATTTTGACTGAGTCCCAGGGTCAAATGAAATTTGTAATAACCGTTTTGATATGAATTTGGTTAGATAATTCTTATAAATTATAATTATTATATTATGTAGAGTCGTTTCATATGTTTTGTACGTCTAAATTATAAATATAATATCATGTTTTTGTCACACATTTCCTATGTGTAATAATCATATGCATTTTTATGGCTATATTAATAATTAATACTATATTTATATTAATCAATAATTCCTATCAAGTATTATATACGTATATAATTAATTTCCAGGTGATCCATCAATGACACCTCTGTACATAGATGATGAGTACTCTCCAAGTGTGTGTAGCTGTTCTTGTAGTTGCTTCAGGAAAACTATGTAAGTATTACATATACATATATTAAATATAAAAATATCACTCTTTATTATAATACTGGCTTTCCACCCGCAGCTTCGCCCGCGTCCACATCGGTTATATCGCGTTATATCGCGTTTCCTATCCTATGTTCTTTCTCAAAGTCAACTCTATGTCTGTACCAAATTTCATTAAAATCAGTTCAGTGGTTTAGTCGTAAAAGCGTAACAGACAGACAGACTGAGTTACTTTCGCATTTATAATATTAGTTGGGATGTGATTATTTTCATAAGATTCAATCATCCATAAAAAATTGTATACAAGTATTTGTGATAATTGTCATTTTTTGTATATAAGAGAAAGTTGTGCTAGTTACACTATTTATAACTCAGGAAAGGCTGTTGGGATATGGTTGAAAATTGGTGGAGAGATAGATTAGAACAAGGAGATGGACATACGATATTTAATTCTATTCGATAAAAAGAAAAAAACTTTATAAATACCAATATCTGGTTATTTATGACCACTAGGGCGTAATAGAGTTCTCCCGGTCAGCTATACATATATTACTAATTCCGAAATTAACGCGGACGAGGTAGCGGACAAAAACTTGTTTGTTATATAACATAAAGCTCTCAGATAATTCCTTGGTAGTGCTAAGAATCAGTGCTGTAACTAGGCTTTTATGCACCCGGTGTGAGCTTTCAAAACTGCGCCCCTAAAAAATGCTCTAACCAGGCTCTAAAAATAAAATGGACAAACGTGCATACAAATAAATCTATCTATATGTTGTATACCATAGTAACAAAGTATATAAGTATATAGCTACCATGCATGAGATAAAACTAGATACTAGTCTGGTCATTTCTGCGCCCCTTCAGGGTCTGCGCCCTGTGTCTGGGCACTGCTGGCACTGCCCTAGTTACGGCACTGCTAAGAATGAATGGATTTTAAAATAATAATATTTAATTAACATTATATTAATTATTCCAGGGGTATACCATATAGAGATCCATTATCACCCGTTCCGCCGACAAATATAAAAGAGATACGAGCGAAGAATTACAGAGAATTAGGAAATATGCCGCGACATATAGAAAAAACATCCACTAATAGATCACAATCATTAAGACTCAACTCAGCGTCTGGCTATCTATACATGAACGCTAAGTCAAATGACTTCCAAATAGATTCGGAAGATTTCAGAGATATAGTTGCGAAGAGACGCGAACAACTGAAGAAGGGAATGACAAGTATGACTGAACAATACATACATACATACAGACATAGCTACAGAACAGACAGCCGGAGCTCACTATACTCTATGAACATGAACGAGAATAGATCAAATGACCCATTAGTAGACGACTGCGACTCGGAAAAATCAAGCTACGAAAGAAAGAAGATTATAAAGAACATAGAAAGAAATACAAATAGAAGGAACGAAAATTACTTCTATGACGACGCGATTCTGCATTTCGACGACGAATACGCGTTCGATGGGTCAATAATATTCGCGAAACGCAGAAAATCCATTGACCGTAATATAGATTTCACTTGCGATCTTCCAAACACTATTTACGATCAAATATCAAACGACAGCTACGGTTACTACTTGCCCGACGACGAAGAAGAGGATTTGTATTTCGTTAACGACACACTAACATTCAACCTGCCTCCGCATCGCGCTAGTATATAATTATTACTATAATAGTTTAAAACAAGGGCCAATTAGTGTAAACTTTTAGATTTTACACAGTTCATTGCTTGTATTGGCTTGTGTAGATATTGTAAATTCGCTAAGCTATAATTCTTTTTTGGACCCTATTTTTTTTTTAAATCCCATGACAGAAATCAAATGCTAATGAATATTAATTCATGATGTATGAGCATTAGATTTCTGTGATAGCCAACACTTTGAATCTCTAGATAAAGTGTAGATATTAACAAATGTGTGATTGTGGTATCATTCATACTGTTATTATTAAGTTTAATTGTGCCAAGTCGCTAACTATGGAGCCAAAACATTCCTTTAACTCTATTGAGCTTAAAGCATTTTGAATCTTATAAGTATTGAAAATTTTATTTATTATTATTATAATTATTAAGAATAATTTTAATGCTAACAGAAGCAAAAAAAGTTTGATCACAATTGATATAAAAATCTCTCATTGTTATAAAGTTAAACTTTTGTTAATATTTCATTGAAATTAAAATTTAATATTTGGTTTTAAACCTCGTATTATGAGAGTTAATCTCTTAATTTTAAATAAAATATTTATTATTAATATAATAATATATTCTCACAATGTGTAACATTCCATTTATATATGAAATTATTATTTTGACTGACTTTTTTTCGTTTTTAATGATAATATTGTTTTATATTATACTATACAAAAATAATTTTATAATTCTATTGTGATATGATTTAAACATGTGATTTATTTTTCAATCAAAACGCTTTTAAACTTAAGTAAAATCTAAGTCATTTTTTTTCTATGTAATTTAAAAGACTAGTCAAAACTACACGTGCCAAAATAATATATAAAAATGGCGGAATATCCAACAAAGTTAATAAATATATTAATGATCTCAGTTAAATATTTTATATAATTTTGTTTTAGGTGAACTAATAATACTCCACATAAACTTCCAAGTCATTAATATTGACCTTAAAATGGTTAGTGATTTACAAACCGTTTATAATAATACATTGTATGCATGCTATATAAATACTATGTGTGTCTGATATACATATATGATTACTGAACTAGGTTATGTACGGATAAACGGTCTGAATTGATTGTACTTTAAAAGGATGTAAAATAAAATCGGATTTCATTAAAAAATATTACTAAAGATTGTTTTATTTACATTATATATTAAAATTAATATTCTTATATTTGGCTGAAAGATACAACAATAATAATATTCAACTTTCAAGTGTCTTGTTATTAAAGAGAAAATTTGAAGTGTTACACTTAAATGTTAGTTTTGTCAGTTTAACAATTTATGCTCAAATCATAATTTCTGTTCTTAGAGTGTGTTAACATATGCTTTGAAAATAGAGGAATAAATGAATATATTGTAGGAAATTCAAAGCAATACTACGTTATTCCTATTTTAAATTACATGTTTTCAAATAATATATTAAATCTTGGAATTTTAAATTAGCGCCATCTTTGAAAAAAGCTTTGAACTTTTAGAACACCTTTGATAGTATAGTATAGTCGGAGTTTGATTATTCGTCCATAGATGGAACTAAATTCAAAATATGTTTAAAACGTTTTTAACATAAAATTCTTACTTCCGCAAAGGAAAATAATACGCCCGGTGACGCTGTCCACGCCGCAGGGCTAACAATACTCATTACAAAAGAAAAGGGAGATAATAATTTCAGAATTTACTTAATAACTTCATAATTACTGGTTTTATGTACGCAATGATGAAATATCTTCTAAGTAATTTTTGTATTTACATGTCAAAAATGTTATTTAATATCAAGGTCAAATGAAAAGATTTAAGTTTTAACTTAGCGTGTTACGAGATAACCGAATTGGACTGAATCTTACCTGCAATTAAGAAATTAAAGTAAACTTTGTTTTATACTAGGTTAAGCATAATTTAGTATAGTTTCACAAATGCATATTTTTAATGTAACATATCGTCAGTAGTTTTTAAGACTGCAATTTTAAAAGAAATGTTTTTTTTTAGTGTTGGTAATTATGTTATCTATTAGATTAACTGTTATAATTGCGTCCACAGACGATAATATATATAGATTGAACTTATAGATTATTTCTATAAGACAATTAAAAATTTTCTAATAAAAATATACAGGGTGACTGGTGAATTACTATCAATATTTAAGGAGAATACTCGGTACATGATTCTCATTCGAATTATGTAAAAAAAAATAGGTACTTAATTTTTGACCAAATTTCCGTATAAATAAATAAAGTGTGAACACGTTCCAAGTGTTCCTAGTGTGGACGCGTGCGGCGGCGTGCTGATACAACAACACGCCGCCGCACGTATGTGTGAGTGTGTGTGTATACCTAACCTGTAGGGTGTTCATACGATGCGTAATTAATTACATAACTTTTGGTTAACTTTACTTAGAAGTTTATTAATATTTATGTTATATTAATTTTTATTTTGTCATATATGATCGTCAAATATCACGTCCTCAAATATCGATAGTAATTCACCAGTCACCCTGTATAACATACTTTCATATACTTATAAGTTATAGGAAACATTATTTTTAATATTATTTTTGAATTTCAAGATATTAATTTTGATAGAGTTCGTCTTTTAATAAGTAAGTTTATGAAATATGTAAAAGAAAAGTTCAATATCACTTACTATAGGACTTGTTACCAAGAGTTCTTAGTGTTACTTTCATACGAACAGTTTAAAGTTATTACTACGTGGATATTCCCTTGTACGATCTTTAAAATGTATTTATAATTTTATGAATAATTACGACTGGTTTTCTGTATACTTAATTCTCATCTTTTTAGACCAATTTCTATTGATTTTTAGAGATTTGCAGTCAAAGTTGCATCGATAATGTTTTCTTTTGTAATTAAAAACATATCAGAAATGACTAGAAACTTTTATATACCTAACTTTTAATTATTTGTATTTAAAAGCTGAAATATTCATAAAATACAGTAAAATATTACATTTCTTGAATTTCACTTTAGTTAATACATCACTTTAAGAATCTTTGTGATATTTTATATTGTTACTTAAAAATTAACAGATATCAATGTATTTTCATAAAATTATTCAACCTTTTTGTTGATTGCCATCGCGAAACGTAAAAAAAAACATAACATTATTGTAATCAAAAAAGTGTTATTTTTCTTCACCACGGACACGAGTATAACATAAAAAAATCAGTTAAATATCTATTTTTATATATTTTTTAAATTGATCATCGCAGATGTCACCTGTCAAAACAGGTTGTAATACTTTGACATAATAATTTTTTAATAATAATATCGAAGGTTTGTCTACATTCTGCCAATAACGTCTGTATGTCCAACACTATTTATTATTACTTAAATGTTTTTATGTTAGAAAAATTATATAAAGATTTAAATCTTCTTTGAAAACTTTACTATTAATTTGTGAAACTGAATTTTTTATTCTTTGGTAATTAAATCTGTTTACTAATTTGTTTCTTTGGTACACTCATAAGGAACTTGTGCTATGCAATCAAGGCTGAGATACAACAATTTATGACCTGTAAATACTTAGCATTTATCTAATAAATTAGTATACAATGATATCAAATAAATTAATTAAAAAAATAATCTAAAGTTATATTTTAATTTAGTTAATATCAAAAACTCTTAAGTTTGAAACGTTTTTATTAATAAGCAACAAAGTAATAAAGACAGCAAGGAGGCCATACATAAAAAGCCTTTGAAACGAATTCACAAAAGAATCTCATTCCGCCATCTTAAATAAAACAAAAACATGAAGCAAGAACAAATTGCTTACAAGAAACAGCGAAATTATAAATAGGAAACACTTTTTAAACAATTCTGTTTAAATGGATTTAATAAATGCTTAAGTAGACGTTACTTCCCTTTGAGAAGCAAAGAGAATATAATAAGAAAAATTCTACCGCCCATTGGAGGAGGTGCTTTGAATAAAGAAAAGTTAAAATTTTCTTTAAACCTCCTAAGGGTGTCTGGGCGCCTGGTATCTTCGTTCAAGTATTGGCAAAAAACACCCCAAAGTAGGGTGAGGTTTTGTTATATATTATTACCTGGAATATATTTTATTTAACTCAATATTACTTAAAATATTTACAGTATAACAACTAAATATTATTAAATGAAAATTTATAGGTAGTTGTATTAACTATGATTGAAATTTTATAAATATATATATCCTGGATTGAGTCGTAACAAAAAGTATTAATTGCACTATCTTTTATACTCTATAGACCATTAATAAAATACTACATAATCACTACATAGTCTATAAACTAAACATATTATTATTATTATTATAAATGTTTACATATAAAAGATTCTTCTATTAAATCATTTATCATATAAAACCAGTTTCTAAGTGTAATTTGTTTATAAAACTCTCGTTTAAGGTATCTCAAGTTGAACTTAATGCTTGTACTAACTTCAGTCGTTTTCACTCACGCCTCAAACAGGATTCACTTTCACATTGCAGTGAACTTTAAACGGCCTAACAGTTTTTGGTTTGTAAACTAAAACTTTCACGAAAGTTTAAACTTTAGAAACATAGACGAATTAGCCGATAATTATACAGGATTACATTTATTTGTTTCATTTAAATGAATTGAATGTAAGTCAATGAGTTCATTTATTACGGTATATGTTCGTAAAATCGCAAAGATATGGAAATGTATGTCAATATTTGTTCAACTAAGTGGTCTTAAAACCCTCAAATAACTTGAAGTATCTTCAATATGTACCTTCTTCATCATATCTTCAGTGACGGTACATCTTCATGTTTTACATTACATAACAAACAAGTCGATGGTACTCACGATTGATTCGTATTCCCTGAGATAAGTAATTACTGAGTCGAGGCCAGATCTATAAATCTAAGGGTAACCTCCCTCGAAAAAAGGGGGCACTTCTTATATTTAAATATCTCACCCCTTCCGGGTAGATGGCGCGCTTTTTCCAGTAA